GCAGATGGTTAGCTTATCAGATTAGGAAACAGAAGAAGGGCATTGAAATTACGTGAGAGATTTTATAAGCAAGGAGTTGCTAAGAGTAATCCATATAAATTTGATTAAGGAAATGATTAGAGGACTGACACCACAAATGGCAGAAGATATGAGACTGTTTTGCTACTGGAAAGATACAGGTTGATAGATGGAAGAGTATAATTTAAAACTAGTTAAACTTATTGAAATTTAGTGACAATAGATATAGTTAAATAAGTAATTTATAATGATAATGATAATAATATATACAATGTGTAGTGTTATGATTAATAATTGGATATAAATATTGAATGGTACCCATGAAAGGAAGATTAGAAATCCTTTTGGATTATTTCCACATTTTTTATTTGTCCCGTAGAGCATAACATTTTTCACATATTAGGCAAGCCATAGTGGCAACCCCCTTCACTACAGTTTCACAGTCCTGAGCAGATTCTCTTCCCACATTTATGTACCTGCTATTAAATCTCTAAGAAAAATTATGTTTAGCTTATGGCAACTTTCAAAAAAATGAAACCAAACCTAAACTTAGAAACTGGTGAGGGGGGCAGGGTGGTGACTTTGGAGCAATGATTGCAAATGTCCCTGTGAGATGCATCAAATTCTGAAAATCTGGTTTTTAATTTGGCTATGAGAATTGTCATGTGGCAATTTCTCTCAAAGAATGATCCACTGTATCTGGCTTTATAGTGCAAATTTTTAAAGAGTAAATCTTGCCAAGTGGTGCACTTGAGTAAATCCCAATTTCAGCCAGGAAATTTCTAGGCAAAGCACACAGCCAGGTTAACACATTTTCTTCTCAAGCTCAGCTGGGAAGAAAGTGCTGCCTCCACAGCCTTTTACTGGTCCCAGTACTGAGGCTGGAACTGCTGTTGACTCCTCTCTCCCCCAAATCCATTTGGAGAAGTTTCAGGGCAGTGATTAGTTATACCTTGAGACTACAGGGAGGAAGTCCACAGGCAAGTGGACAAGGAGACATCAGCTGGATTTGCTGGGGTCTGTTGCAATCCCTTATCTTGTTTTTTAATTACCAGACACACTGTAGGAGACGATCAAGCTGAGCCTGAGGGAGGGATCAAGTGTGCCATCAGATTTGAGTCCCTGAATGCCCCCAAAAGATCTAGCTCCAGCTCTCCTTGAATCCCATTCACTCTTATCTATCACCAAATTTCTTTGACTGTTAGCTATTCAGATTCTTGTAGAAAGAGTTAGCGTATAATAAACCTGTATACCTTTGACCTGCCCTGCCTCAGAGCCTTGTGATTTCTCATGCCTGACACAAACCTGTTCATTTTTAGCAAGAAATATGCTGTTCATGCATAAGTGAAATTAACCAGGCGTGTTCATAGTAGTTCTCCATTTCCCTCTCTCTTGCACCAATAAACTGTACCAAAAGAATGTCCAAATTGTAGGCAACATGGGAGGCTCATCTTTGTTCCTTTTTCCCAATCCAGATTAGTACACTTAAGATGATAGTAAAAGGTTTGGGAGTGCTTTTTCTGGATTTCCCTATCATCAAGACAGTTAGAAGATTGTCTTGATTCTGAATTTTTACTAGACCCTATTTTTTATAGTTTTTTATTTTTTCATTTTCATAACATATAATCACACGTATACTATTACATAGCCAACATCATATTGTATTATTAAATGTTTACATCAATTCATCTTACNTTCTTTCTTTCTTTCTTTCTTTCTTTCTTTCTTTCTTTCTTTCTTTCTTTCTTTCTTTCTTTCTTTCTTTCTTTCTTTCTTTCTTTCTTTCTGATAGCTAAGATATTTTATTGAGAAGGCAGAGACCCCTACTTCCTGTTCCCCCACTCCCACCCAGCCATTCCTCCCCATCAGCTCTCCATCTTCTCATCTTCCTCAGTGCCAGACTTGGATGGCACTGCCAATGCTCCAAGGGCTCCTCTGAAGGGCCGGCTGAGCTGGCCTCTGCTGCTTGGCTGTCCTTGGCTGGCTCTTGTGGGGCAGGGATGGGCTGCGCTAGGCTGGGGAAGGGGTCTTGCTGGAGGACCGCTCATTTGAGCTACTGCCACTGCCCCCTTCCTTGCTAAGCAGCTCCTTGGTGGGCCAGGGTCAGAAGTAGGTTGCTCCCGGTTTGGCCCGATTCGGCCAAATAGGTAGTAACTCGGCTGTGCACACGCCTGAGCCAGTTCTATTGGCACCATAGGTGGCCCCATCTTGTTTTTTGCATCTGCGTATGTCTATGTAGCATGCATCAAACTCAGGAAGAACATGCCTGAGTGAACTGGCAGTAAAATAATCCAGAACCCCACCTCTGGCCACAGTCCTTCTAAGCTGGAATCCAGCAGGGAGCTCCCCCACAAAAAACTCTCCTCTTTCTCCTGCATGCTGATGAAGATGGTTGGGGTCTTGGCTTCAGGCATGTCTTCAGCCAGGCGAGCCTGTTTCTGCTGCTGCTTGAGTTTCTGTTCCTCCTCCAACTGCCATTTCAAGGCCTTCTCCTGGGCCAGGCGGGGGGCAACCATGTCCTGGGACACCAGAGGCAGCAGAGGCTGGGGCTCCGCTTCTTCCCCACTCCCTCTTCTCAGGGTCTTTGTCCTGGATGGAGCAGGGCCCCTCCTTCATTTTCCAATAGGATTCATTTCTAATAGGAGGTATTATAAAATGCTGGGCTACTTCCATAAGTTTCAGAAGCACATCACCGCTCTGTACTTCTTCTGATGCTTCCTTCAGATCAGGTAGACTTATTCAACCCTTTTCCACTTTGGAAATGAAGGAAAGGAATTTTGGATGAGCAAAAAGAAAAGAAATACATGTTATTGCAAGAGTTTTTTATTCCCTGAATTTGGAACCCAGAGCAAAGCTGTGAAGAGTTACCTAGCTCAGCTGAGACACAGCAATCCGCTCTGCCGTGCAAATTAGCTGAGCTAGAGAACAAGGGAATATAGGACAGGGAACAGTGGGGGTGGGAGGGCAGGGCCAGCCAGATATGGTATTTGCTGGTTCTCCAAACTACTCAAAATTTCCGCTATCGGTATGCCAGAACCAGTCCGAACTGGCTGAATACCACCTCTGCTGATGACATAGATTTTCTCTTGGAGTTCTCAATGAAGAAAAGTGAGGAGAGTTTCTTTTTCGCAGCAGCTGCCTTCTTTGTTTCAACAATCTTCCACACCTCTCCTAGGAAATACTTCCTTGTTTTCCTAAGCTTCCTGACATTAGTTGATAGGAACTGTGCCAGAGGTGATATTCAGCCAGGTCAAACTGGTTTGCCTGAACCGGTAGTGAAAATCGCAGGTGGCCCCACCCACCCACCCCGCCCTGCTTCTATGCCATCCTATTTAGCCATGTTTTAAAGCCATGTGCATGCATGCAAGCCATGCACACAATAAAAGTGCATGCACAGAAGGCCAAGCACATGCACACACGCTCACATTTGTGAACAGGTAGAGAAAGTAAGTGAATACCACCCCTGAACTCTGCCCTCAATTTCTAGTAGTGGCCAGAAAGAATTCCAAGGATTGTATGTGGCAATGTCTGGAGAAATTAGAAACCGAAGTAATGAAGTTAGGATGAGTCTTAAAAATGACAAATAAAATATTTTGAATAGCAAATAATTTATGCAAAATATGTTACAAAAATCTAGGATGTTAAATAAATAATACAATGTATTCTCTTTTGACATTTTTGTAGGCTTGCATTTCTTTTAACAATATTCTGAAGATTTCCCCCACCCCCACCCAATAAGTTGCTTTGTACAAAGGATTGAATGCATGTTTCTTAATTTTATTGATGAAGCCGTTGTAAAATATTTGGAAGAAATATTGAGAAAAATAGATTTGTAGTTAAATTTATCTTTATTTATAAAAAATGGATTGCTACTATTATATGAAATTTTGTCCCTCTTGTTTGGAAAACTCAATAATCCTTGAATCTTTTTTCCTTAATAAGATTACCATAAGATACATCTTCTGTTTTATGATGTAAAGTGATAGTGCTGTAATAAATGTTTCAATATACAGTATTATTAATAGTTTTAAAGCTTTTTAATCACTCGCAACTAACCAAATTGCATATGAGATCCACTGGAATTCAGGAATAATGAAGGGGGTAGACACTTTATACCTCTCCAATTTGATCTGCCATGCAAAAAATGATTTAAAAAAATAATTCATTGGTGTTTACAACTACTAATTTTGAACGTTTTCATTATTCCCACATAGGAAAATATTTTAATTCTGCACATAAATTCATGACTATGAGATTGACATTCAGCATAGATAATCTTTGATTTATGACCACAATTGGGAGCAGAACATTTGTCGCGAAGTAATGTGGTTGTTAAGTGGTGCCCATTTTTAATGACCTTTTTTGCCAGAGCCATCAAATCACCGCGATCATTAAGTGAATTGTGATTGTTAAGTGTGTCTGGCTTCCCTCTCTGACTTGTCAGAAAGCCCCTGGGAACATTGCAAATGGTGATCATGTGACCTCAGGACACTGCAACCATTATAAAAATATGCCAGTTGTCACATGCCCAGATTTTGATCTTGTGACTGCAGAGATGCTGCAAGGGTTATAAGCGCCAGGACCAGTTGCAAGTCACATTTTCCAGTGCTGATATAACTTTGAATGACTTTTAAACAAATGGTGATCAGTAGAGGTGGGTTTCACATAAGTTTACCATTGGTTTTCTGTGCACCGAAACTGTGAGCATGTGCGCCTTTCACGCTCACGTGCAGGGTTTGTTCATGAGCATGGCTTAGAAAACGTGGCTAAATAGGATAGCATAAATTGGGGTGGGTGGGTGGCCACCCCACCCACCTGCAGGTCGTCACTACTAATTCGCCTGAACCGGTCTGAACCGGCTGAATACCACCACTGGTGATAGGTTGAAGACTCCGTATACTACTTTCTTCTTAAAGTAGTAATAGATAGACACAGAGAGGATATTCTTTGACTTTACTCCCTATCAGCTTTGACCAAAAATGGAAATGTAATAACAAAATAATACCAAAAAAAGATCCTAATTTGGGGTGGGGGTTTACTGGACACATTATGTGAAACAATAGATGATAAAATGATTTAAAGTTAATGAAATGATTTGTCTCCAATTAAAATGACCCTTTCCATTTAAAGGGGGAAATGTTTATGCTCACCCTTTGCAGATCTAAAGGAACATGTGCCTGTCTTATGGCAGAGGTATCCTGGCTAAGTGAGCTTTAGAATGACCCTGGAAATGATGTTATGGGGTATTTGTGTAAAAATAAATTACAATCTATTCCCGCTATGGAACACATAGAAAATGGCTTCCTTACCTTTCAGATAATGAGCATGTCAGTGTAAGTGCAAAACAAACCTGAAATGTGTGGTTGGTTCTACACTTTATCCCTCTTGTGCAAGGCACATATGTCAGTCTCTTTGGAGTTCATCTCTTAGAAATCAGTTTTTCATATATTATATATTGAAATATCCCTCCCTTCCTTCCTTGTCTCCCTTCTTCCTTCTTTTGGAAAACCTTGGACATGTGCATATTGGTGTGTGCCTATTTTAGGCAATGCTAAAACAACCCTAAAACATACCTGCAGATAATATATGTTACTACAATGTGTTTAATCATAATGTCTGATTGTCATGTTATTTACCTGTTGTGTCTGTCACTTTGCTTTATAATGTGACTAAAGAAAACCATATCCAGGTCAACCCTTCCAAATGTTTTTGTTTTTTCCAGTTAATGAAACTTCATTGCTATGGTTACTGTCTTTGTCTTCAGCTGAGGTCCCCCCCTCCTTTAGTCCATTCCATTATGGTATTGGTGTTGTGAAAGAATAAAAGAACAAGCCATTCATTCAGAAAAGTGTTAAAATATCCCTCTTTATCATTACATTTCATTGCTTGAGAAAGCAACATGTAATCCAAGGCTAGAGTTACTTTGGAGAACTGTTAAAAAATATTTTTCTTTTAGTAGCTCCCTTCCCCTTGCCTTCCCCTTCCGGAAACCATGTCAACAAGTGTTTGAATAATCCAACTCTAATTTGGTTAATAGATTATTTCCAAAACATGTTGAAAGAATTGTGTTGTATGAGAGTGTCTGTGCCTAATTTGCACAGTGCAGAATTTTAGGGTGCTTTTGTTTTGAGGGCATAGATGCAGAAGGAACCAGTTTCTACAAATCTGAGAAACTCTGAATATAACACAAGCTTTGTTAATTTAAAATTTTAAAGACTGAAAATTGTAAAATAAAATAAAGCATGGTCCTGTACATTCCGGTACATTTCAGTATATTGAAACTTTACAATATGAAAAAATACATCAGCTCTGTACAGTTTTTTTTCTCCTTTTTACAGATAGGTAGGATGAGTTTTGAAAAAAAACAAACCAAGATTTATTTTAAGGATCATACTTCATTTTTAAGTAAAAAAAAAGACTGCACAACTTAGCTAATTACAAATCATAGACTTGAAACAATCTGTATTTGAAAGGTAACTTTTTAAACAGAATGGGGAGTTTTCAATCCATCCCTGGAGAAATACTGATTTAATTCTTCATGACAAATTTTTAAAAAATGGTGATGATTCTGGGTTATCTTTCGGACAACATAAGTCAGCTGAGTGTGATCACTGATTTCGTGCTGCTCTTGTGATTGTGCTCAGATCCAGGTCAGTCTCTAATGGTGTTTCCATTGTTTCTTCCTGTGCACTTGAGTCATAGGACTTATGACCAAGAAGTTCATGATGTACACCACAGTAACTTATTGTAGGCTGATCGTATGCAAGAAATGTAGACATATTCATAGATAAAGGTATCTGGAAAGGAAATAGAGATGAAAAATAATTAGTAGAGAAGCATTTGAAGATGAAATTAGATTTAAAGCCAGGAGACCATGACTGTGTCTCCTACCTTTCTGCAGGGGTGGGCAATTATGGCAAGTTCACAATCTGTGGCTCATGGCTGGCTCAGGAATTCTGGGAACTGAAGTTGACAGTTCATAAAGGTTGCCATAGTCACCCACCCCTACTTTAGAGTATTTGCAACAGCATGGAAAATAGGAAATTGGATTGCTCTGCAATGCTTGAGTGAGGGGTATATTCATTATGCAGCTATTTTATTTCCAATTTTTTAAATAAAAATTATTTTCAATTTTCAAAACAAACACAACACATACAATCTTCCTTCTTTACCTACTGTAGAAAGTGTATCAGTTGCTTACAAAAAGGCTTTCGTGCATCTCTTCCACAGTCATCAAATATAATTCATATTAACTCAAGTATTTTAACTCAGATATTTATACATGTTACCATCATCATACTTCCATTTTCATTTGATTATTATTGTTTAAACATCCATCATAAAATATACCAAGATTTAATACATAACCCATACTGGTATTTCATTTACTATTTCTAAAATCCTCCAATAACACTGATTCCTTATGTCTTATTCAACCCACACATTCACGAGAGCACCTACTTATACTACTTCACACCCTACCACTTATACTAATCTCACT